ATAAACATGCTTTGCCAAATAATGAGGAAGAACCTGGTTTTTAAGTTTATTGTAGAAGTAAAGCTGTGGGACTCGTGGACTTTCTGACTTCTAAAGGTCTTCGTTGTGACTTTAAGCAATTCTACACCTCTTTTTAGTTTATGAATTCTGATGCTTTGAGTACACAATCTCATGTCAGGATGTGTATGATCGCCTGGAGAAAGAAATGGAAACCTTTAGTGTTTCAGTTCCTTCCAGTACTGTGGTGTCAGATGATTTGCAGGAGACAAAAGTTGGTCATGACACAAGCAGGTCGACTGAGTCCAATGAAACCGTTAGTGACAGCAGCAGTAATAAACAGGCAGCGGAGAAGGGATCAAAAAAGAAAAAAGGTAGAGGGGCTGGAAGCATGATAACAGGGCCAGCTGAGAGTGAGCTGGACAACCAGGACAATGTTCCTACAAGATCTAAGAAAAACCAAAGGAAAGGCAAGAATATCTCTTCCGGACAGGCCGCAGAGTCAAAAGCAGCTGCTAAGTTGGTAAAAATAAAAGAGGAAAATCTCAATGTCCCTTCAGAAGATTGGGTAATGAATAAGATTACAGCGCTTGTATCTGATTTTGAAGAACAAGGTCTGTTGATTCTGTCTTCAGCTACTTTGTTCATTTTGATCATTGAGACTTAATGCCATGAGTTTCGAACCGAGTTTTGATAGAAGCAGTGTACTACTTTGATAGGTCCTGATGATCCCCAAACAATTCTTGGACCTTTGGCACACTATTTGAGGCCTAAGTTAATCAACTCCTGGAAGGAGAGAAGAAAGGCATTGTTTACAGAAAATGTGGAGAGAATGAGGAACTTACTTGATAACTTGCAAAAGAAACTTGATGAGGTAATAAACTCCAGCAACTATATTTGTTGTTCAATTCCTTAGTTCTTGCACTGGTATTTGGAACCTTTTTAGAGTCTCCGATGTGCTAAACTGCCTTTTATTCCTTGCAGTCTTTCTTAAATATGCAGCTTTATGAAAAGGCTTTAGATTTGTTTGAAGATGACCAATCAACCTCAGTAAGTTTTCCCTCTAGTGATGCGTGTTAAGTGGTTTCAGTTGGTGATAAAATGGACTAAAGAAGGCTCATCGATGATTGACAGGTCATTTTTCACCGGCATCTGTTAAGAACAACAGCTACTACCATTGCCGATATGCTTCTTCAAAATTTGGTAACTTTCTTTCATTGTGATGTTGTCATGTTCATGGTCGCAATATGTACATGTATTCACACACATTAAACTGGTCATCTATGCATGTAGCTGAGCTGTTTCACGGATTTTCAATGATGGATATGTATGATGTAGGACATGCACAACAAACTGAAGAATGGAGTTGAAGTTGCAGAGCCTCAAATTTCAGAATCTATTACCCTCAACACGGGAGAGAGAACTTCCATTGTAGGAAATAATCTACTACCTGATGTTACTTTGACATTTCCCAAGAGCACTCCATTTTCTTTCATAAATGTGGAACTTCTCAAGCACGTTATCCGTTAAAAAGAAATGCTTTATGGTCTTTTGGTTTTTTGCAGGCCAAAAACTTTCCTGGATCGCTTTCAAGCAAGGCTCTTGCTGTAGTTGAAGCATTGGAAGGAAAGGTCAGTTCTTATTTGTTAGAAACCCGTTGATTTTCTGTTTCTGGGAGCTATCTGGATGGGTTAGTCACAAGTCTTGCACTGATTTTTCAGTTTTATGTTGGATAGTTATTTCTATTTTTCTGATAGATAATCCTTTATACAGTGATCATCTTTTTTCTTAATTATGAATTTAGGTTGCATCCTTAGTGGATTCAGTACTTTGTTTCTGATCTCCAAACTCTTCTGGTTCTACGGAGTTTGCATTTATCTTATTAGTTTTTCTGTATGCAAAATTAAGCACTCAACACCGGTTGAGTTTCTACATTGATACTGTTTCCTGTTCTTTGTATGCAATGTTCAAGGAAGAGCTGATTATTTTTATCCCTGAAGGTTACCCATAATAAATGAAGCAGTTAGCTTGGAATGTTTAATTTTTGAAGATTTTGTTTAGTGGCAATTATTATATTTTTTTTTTCTTATCTGCCCGATACATCTTATATACTTTTGATGAAATCAAAGGACTTTGTATGTGTTACACTATTACTCAACTCCATCAACTTACCACAATGACGTCACATGTTGAATGTTCTACATGGCAGCGGGTGGAAACTTTCATGACTGCTCTAAGAGATATTGCAGAAGAGAGGTAGTTGCATGCTTATTTATTTGTCTTTGTGATGGATTCCTTGAAGCACTTACTTTCTCTGAAGCTAATATAAACGTTTTGGTTTAAATTTTCTAGCGGCTTGCTCTTGAGAAAGATTGACAAGAAATTGGAAAGAACGCTTCTGCATTCGTATCAGAAGGTTTTGATCTTGTATAAGGAACTGTCAAATCTATTATTCACAAATAGCTAGGTGTGTAACTTGTCCGTATGGAGATGAAAATTACTTTTTATGGTTTTCTTTCTGTATCATTTTCAGGATTTGGTGTCTCAAGTTTCTGCTGAGACAGATCCAGTTCCTCTTTTGCCAAAAGTTGTTTCCCTGATTTACGTACAGGTTTGTTAATTTTTGTTGCTACCAGAATCAGTATTATATATACACATTCATGCTTCTCGTTTCTTGCCCAGTTTAGTAACATGAATTTTCATATGTAGGTTCACCATAAAGCTCTTCAAGCACCTGGAAGGGCCATCGCTGTCGCTGTTTCACGACTGAAGGTACGTTTTCTCTCCCCACCTTCTCCATCAAGTTGTACATATTTGCAGTATGTCTTAGCCTTAGCCTAGATGATTATCCTAGTGGTATAGTTTGACAAGATATATGTCTCCATTCTTTTCCTTACGTAAGTTCCTCATGTTAGATTCATTAGGTTTCGTATCACAATGTCACTGAACAAGACTTACAAAAATAAGTCGGTTTTTCATTAAATTATAACATTTGATCCAGTTAGCTACTGGGAGAATAAGAAAGAGAATATATTGTGGCTAATTTTGAGTTTAATTTATTTTGGTGAATGTGATTTACTAGTTACTACACAAGATCTATTGAGTAGTACGTTCCAATATTCAAGTCACCATAGGAACTAAACTTTTCAAAGTGAACTTAAGGAACCTAACGCAAGGAATTGTACCCTTACTTGAGTTCCTACGATTGATTTCTCATTTGAATAAAAGGGTACAGTGGTACTGGTAAACATAAACAGAATTCTCGCCTTGTCCCCTTGTACGTCCCTGATAAAAAGAAAATTTCCTATCTTCTCTCTTAAACAAAAGACAGCACACCTCCCTGTTCTATGTCTTGTTTTCCTCAAAAGAACTCATTATCTCATTTCTTATCCGTTTTGGAACGCTCAATCAATGTATAAGGACACTGATATGCTCTGCTAAATGCCTCAGGGTGAACGTTATTGGTACTTTGCTATTACTTAGCTCAAACGGTACTCCTTGTATCTGTGTGCATATTGCTTCTAGTATTATGTCCCTAATAACACCCACTATTTTTTCAGGATAAACTAGATGAATCAGCCTTCAAGATCCTGACAGATTATCAAACTGCAACAGTGACCCTGTTAACGTTAATATCTGCTGCAAGTGGAGACGTGAGTAGCTATTTTGCGGTTTTCCTTTGAAGTCTTGATTCTTGTGTTAGTCATTGGACTCATCATGTAATGCAAGCAATCTCTATTTGCATCAGGAAGAAGACTGTACATCGGATAGAATTTTGAGCAAAAGGGAGCTTTTGGAGACCCAAATGCCCGCACTCAAAGGCCTGGTCTTGCGCAACTCACAATCTTGACTCTAACCGTGAAATCAAGTTTCCGAATGTGAAACGAACAAAGAAGCCTGAGTTAAGAGATTCGGGACACGGTGGAGTGCTTCGTTTCATTTACGGTGTTTGCGGAGAGGTCATATCTCCCAACCGATAGGAATAGACATTCAAGAAACTAGAAATGTTCTTAGTTCAGTTTGGTCAAATTAGAGATTAGCGTTCATATTTTAATGCTTAAATATCATCAGTACCTCTATATCTTGTAAAAAAAGTATACTAAGGCATAGAATTTAGATCCCTTGTGGGGCGTGTTGAAGTAGTATCGGCAGTCATTTGGAAAAGCCTAATACAAGCAGCGAGATCGAAGTTCGGTTTTACGAAGCCATCCGCGTGGTGTGCAATGTTGAACGTTGGCAAGAGATGGGGGCAGGCCGCGACAGAAAACATACCGGGGAATTTCATTTGGTACGCTGCAGCATTGACGACTGCCGAAAGCGAAGTAGTACTCGAGAGCTTGGTTGGCACACTCAGGAAGGGGATTGAGGAATATGAAGAAAAGCAACCAAACGAGCGGCGAGGAAGTATTTCAAACCATCAATAGTTTGCGAGCCTTTTGGACAATATGATTCTCCTTTGATTTATTCAATTCAAAAACCAAAAATGAACATGGGGCGCTTCAGATGATAAAGGTGTGCGGAACTCGTTACCCTGTATAAAACACCAAGGAGAAGGTAAGAAAATTTCTCACAATCCATACAACGAATTTTACAGAACGGGTCGCAAGTTCACAACACTTTGGGCCATACAAGCACTTTGATATCAAACTTTTCAAACAATTACTTAACCTCCAAAGCTTAAGAGCTCGTTTGGATACACTTTTAAAATGACTGAAAGCGCTTTTGGTGAAAATGTTTTTGATACCAATCTTTAGTAAAAATTCAAGTGAATCTTAAAAAAGCACTTTAAGTGCTTCCTGCAAGAAGAACATATCTAGTGCTTCTTCCAAAACTCACTTAAAGTGCTTTTGGAACTCAATCAATTTAACCCAAAACGCTTTCAAACATTTTTAAAACACATCCAAACGAGCCCTAATTCTTGGCGGCAGCAACTTCCAACAACAGTCGTCGCTCTAGCAGTTGTATTGGTTGCCACGGTCGCATAATTTGGTTAACAAAAAAGGGAAAGGGTAAGAAGCTGATTAGCTGAACACTGCAATAAGGTGTATAAGACAATGGCTTACATGGCTAAATTGAAAGAACATTGATACGGCAAACTGATTTACGTTCTAATGAATGAAATCCATCAACTGAAACTTTACATTCTAAAATATTAAGAGGTTGTCAATGCTGTGGTAACGTCGGTCTCTTCTCCAACAACTCATAATGCACCACAAAATTATCCTGCGCATAATTAAAACATGGGTTCGACTCAGGGAACTACAATGTGTCGAGTTAGGATACCATGCACGAAATATATTTCAATCAGTTCACCTTTCGGATTGTTTCAAATGTATTGGGATCAAAGCAGTGATAAGATCCTTTCTCGTACGCGTTGGTCTTCACAAGTGGCTCCATGTTCGGTACCCTTATGAACCATAGACGGTGCTCCTTGTGATAAAACCAGCCTCTATTATTACTGCCAACAACAAATGTCATAAAGCGTTTAGTACGCACCATGCAAGACTTGTTTATATATATATATATATCAGAACATAAGATAACCTACGTCTTCGGAAAAAGACAAAAAAAGGCACATAGGATTTTTTTTTTTTTTTTTTTTTTTGTCATTAGTTAAATTTGGGGGTGGGGAGAATCGAACTTGAGTGAGGTGGGAGTTTTCTTGGCTCTACAAGATCTAAAAAAATTGTTGAAGGTCAAAAGTAATTCCATCACTACAAGCTCTTTATGTAGACAAAACTATGGATATTATGGGGATTTTAGAAATTTTTATACAAGGGAAATAATAAAAGAAACTAACGCTTACAGTTCATAGGCAGCATATAATTGGGCTTCGTCTTTGGGCATGCTGCAGACACAAAATAATGACTCCGTGAGTTCAATACTTCAAAGACATGGTAATAACTTGAAAGAGGTCCAACAAGAAGCACCTGTAAAAGATATAGAACAACGTTTCCACAGAAAACTTTGAAAAATACCCTTGCTGCAGCCACCAAAATGAGATTAGATCACAGAGAGACAATATACAGGAAGAAGATTGAGTTTGTAAACAGATTTAATAAAAAGAACAGCTCACATGTAGTACAGGCGGTTGTTTAGTATAGTAACATTGAGGAACACCAAACTCTGGATCACCCTTAGCTGGCTCGTCAGACCACGGGGAACCAAAAGTCTTGTGAAGATTTTCTGTTGAATTCAAGTTTAATCCCAGTGTTGTCAAATCAATTCCAAGTGCAAGCGATGTAAGATCAGGATCGCTCATCCTTATGACACTTAACAATCCAAGCAAACCAAATAGGTCTGGAGCGGATTGCGCTGACTGCATTGATTTCATTCCCTGATCCCTAAATGATTGATTTCCAGCTGACATCTGTTGCAGGCGAAACTGGGATTGATTTTGTTGTTGATACTGCTGAATAAGCTGGTCATATGAACCCATACCAGAAACTGAATTGGCAGAATTCAGAGGTCTTAATCCAATGCCAGGAGGTCCTCCACTAGTCTGAATCAAATGTTTTAGATGTTAGATCCCACAATTACTCAAGAATATAAATAAAAAATGCCTATAACTGAAGCTTTTCTCGATCTGAAGATAAAAACCCATCCAACTCTCCAGATGGAATCGACTTATTTGGACCAGCAAATCATTTTGAATCAAATCACATTTTGGAAACAACAAAAACAATTAAATTAAAAATTAAAAAAAAATATAAACACAGTTTCAAGTAAACCTTTGAACATAAATGATTATCAGATACAATACCTACAATCATAAGAATATGTTTTCCAATCCACGTTGAATGACAACATAATAAAATCACCATACAATCAATCCCCATAGTGAAATCCCATTATAACATTAACAATAATTTGTGAAACCAAACTACCACACCTGTGAATGATATGTTGAATGTGATGATGGGAATATGTCTGAACCATGCATATGGAGAAAATCCTGATTGTTTACTTGTGAAAACGAGACACCACTACTGCTGACTGATGGAGCATGTTGTTGCTGTTGTTGTGGCCTATGAGAAGAATAAGCACCCCCCAAGTTAAATCCTGAGGACCTTCCCATCTACAAACAATATACAGAGATATAAGGGCTTATAGCAATTTGCAGGAAGTTATAGTCAAAGGGAAAGGAAGAAATAAGACATTTTATGTCAAGCTTAGAACTCACTGAGAAGTGCTGAGATTGCATCATTGACACAGCATTGTCATGGAGTTGTTCTTTCTGGTGCATATCAATCCCATATTCAGCATTACCACCTGCTGAAGATCTAATAATAAGGTCAAAAATGCGCAAGTGGGCAAGCAGCCTCCCCTACAGGAATGTTGTTCAACTATCAAGTAGTATGTATATGTGATGAAAACGACAGAATGCTAAGTCCTTGCGGTTTCCTAAGTGGTGAGGGAGGATGAAATGGTTTAGGAGTATGATAGATCAAGGGTTACATCCCTTCAATTGTAACCCAAAAAAAATGGTAGATGAGCGATATATTGACACCCATGGTTATGTGACACTGCCTAGTTCCTCAGCTCATTGACTGCCCTTCTATCCATCCTTCCACAACTCTCCCTCTGTCAACCACACCAACCTACCAAAGAGAAAAAAAATCCCCAAACCCAATTTTTTTCATTACCATAAGTCTACCTCTGTTGCTGTCTAGCATAAGTCTACTGCACTATTTGTGAAGAGGCCAGCATACTAGCACAATGGCAAGTCATTTAGAATTATGTCCACTATTTAAATAGATTAGAACTAATTTAAATTGTGAAGAGGGAAGTCTGTTTCAAGATAGCATGTGGTCCAATATCCTAGTGGATAGGGTGTTGGGTTTCCATCCGTGTGTCCTGGGTTCAGAACTTCCCCATCCCCTAAATTATTGTAATGGTTTCGAACCCTCGGCCTCATAATAATAATAATAAGTCTGTTTCATGATATATTAGAGGTAGGAGCAATTGACTAGAAGAACAAATATCACCAAAAATTGACGGGTCAAATAATATTTACATCTGAAAAGCACCTTACGGAAAACATTTCTCAAACCATTACATTTCAAACTCTAAAATAGATCAAAGTCTTAATTAGATTAACATTTAAATTAGGGAGATTTAATGAAAATCCCCTCACTAAACAAAACTTTAACCAAAAGCATTCAAAGAAATTTATTAATCATAAGGACAAAAACCAACAAAAGAGAACCACAAAACAAAACAAAGCTTAAACATACAAACCACCAAACCAAGCCCGGCGGCAACCCACTCATGAGCCACATGCACAGCTGTGACAGAAGACTAAAGGGGAACTTAAGCAGCTTTCAAAGCTGATCTTAGAGGCTTAGAGGAAAGGGAACATTACCATCAACCAACAAGGCTTACACTCCCACTTTTGTCATGAAATAGGATCAGTTTTTTTTATATGACTAATCTCGCACTGATTAAAATTTTGAATTTTTCCATTATTATTAAAAAGTTTAATGTGTTTTTTTTATTAAAAATTAGTTTTGTTCAGCCCTTTTCATTAGTTTCCTATTTAAGTTATGCAACTTCAAAAATGAATATTCTAATCAAATAAAATAAATAAATCGCACCTTTAAATCCTGGTAAAGCTGGAAAGTCCTCATTTTGGATGCTGAACTCTTGGTTCTGTTGAACAATAGGACTAACGCCAAGGCCTTGTTTTCGTAGTGAACCTAAAAATTTTCTGTATATTATATTCCAATTATTGAAAAGGATACATTCAAAACTGCATCAAATTTCTTTACTAACCCAATTGCCCCTGGGGCCCTCCCGCAGAACTAGGACGACTTGTTAATGAAGGGAAATCATTGATGTCAAAAGGAGAACTGTCATTAGAATTCACATCATTCATTATTCCCATAGAGCTCAAGTTATTCACTTGGACATGGCTTTGAGAAAGTGGACCTCCAGGATTAGGATAAGAATTTCCAAGCATCGAAATTACTTGCGGAGAACCTGAAACCAGAAAATTATGTAAAGGTAGATTTTGTAAGTAAACCTCGATTAAAAATAAAACAATTTCATTTCAGCACCAGACATCCATGCGCAATAACAGCCAATAAAGCTGAGTCTGACAGTTCTTGGAATGATATTTAAACCCAAAAACGAAGGCACTATACCAAACTGTGTTCCAATAGTTCAACAGAATCCACACAAGTATTAAAAAAATTTGATAGTATTTAAATTAATTACCAAATTAATAAGCAAATGAACATCAAATCATGAACCAAAGTCAAATTCATTTCAAACTTCAAATCTTAGTAGAAACTCGGTCATATCAGTTTCATAGATAAGGCTTTCCACGGTAGGGCGGGAAATTCAGCTTGTTTCCAATTTCATAGGAATCAAACTCATACAATAGACCAGAAAATTTGAGATCTGTGAGAGTGATTCTCGAGTTCAATATCTTGAACTCATAAGTTTGATTCCTATACAATGAATGACAAACTTTTTAGAGAAAAAAGAATACCTAATAGTAGAGTAAGATGGATCCCACAACTAATAGATAGAATTCACCTCTATCAAACTCATACCATTGTAGCACTTGCTTTATAGGAATCAACCTCACCTTAACCACTGCAGAAGGCATAACTATAGTTATAAAGCACTTAAAGAACTAATTCCATAAGGTAGCCAATATACCTTGTGGTAGCACACCACTCATCAAGCGATTTTGCCCTTGGACAGTTAAGCTTCCAGATCCACTATTTGCACTTAAATTTAGACGAGAAGCAAGACCAGGCACTGACAAACCTCCACCAGAGCTAATACTCCTCCCAATGTTGCCCCCACCAACCATGTTTCCCATGGAACTTGTAATCCGGACCAGCATTTCCCAAAATTGGGGACACGCCCAACCCTGAAACAGCATTCCGGTTACCAATTGCAGCAGATGTAGGGAGAATCCCAGGAATAGAACCGCCAATTCCATTTGTGCTACTACTAAATCCAGGGTTTCCTACTACACTTATACCTCCTCTATTAGTGATTCCTGAATGTCCATGGGAGCTTCCATGAGATAACTGCAGAACATTTTTTTTAAGGAAAAGAAAAATGCAATGAGGTAGAGCATGGGATAAGAGGAAAACACAAGACAGAGACAGAGACAGGCAGAGAGAGAGGTTCATCGATTCTTTCAATACTCTCAAAACTACAATTAGCATATTAAATACTTATCCCCTGTACCTGAGACAAAGCAACAGGAAGGTTATTTGATGTGAATCGTCCGCCAGAGAGGCTTCCAGTTGGTTGTTGTACTCCACCGGAAGGAACATTATTTAATGTTGAACTTCTTGATGTTAAAGTACCTGGCATATTGGGAACACTGAAGCTCCCATGAATGTTATGCAATCCCTGAATACTTCCTGCAGAAAGAAACTTGAAATTTCACTAACATTGACATTAACACAAGAAACTCAAGCAATAGTAACCCACCTGAGTGATGAAAAACAGGAGAAGCTGCACCAGATTGACCAGAGAAAGATGACGCAAATCGCCCACTATTGTCTGGAATATTTGAGGCTGATCCGTTTAGAGAAGACTGCAATTAAAAGCAAATTAGGTTTCACGTGATAAATGAACAAACTATTCAACACATATCAAACATAACAACACTAGAGAAATTAAATTCCTCTTAATTCCTATATATCACAACTGCAGCAATAACCGTAAGGATTACAAGATTTGGCACTATCTGTCTAAACATAAAACCAGAAAACTAATCAACATTGTAACATTTCTCATATACTGCAAAATAGTTATAGGTCATCATGCAAAACATAACACCACTAAACAAAAGACATGCATGAAATCGCTAATAATTTAAAGAAACAAAAGCATATAGAATCATGGTTTGACCCTAAATTATTTGCAAATAAAGTGCAAATCCTAAAGAGCACCTCACATCAATGCTAAAATTGAAGGGGAAAAAAGTTGTGTATAATTGCTTGGAAAGATACATGAACAAAAAAATGACACATTTCTCTCAAAAGAAAATCCAGAGTTCAATCATTAAACAATCCAAAACATTACATAATTAGACAGACTTGTTGGGAATAAGATAACATTTTGAGTCAAGAAGACAATCTTAATATCTTGTATAAAAACTTTTTACTGTAAAGAAGTGATGTGGACAAAAGGCTGTACATTAAGTAAACCCGACATTGCATGGGCATCAAAAGGTCATGCTATAACGCATTCCTTGCCTCCTTGCCGAGAAATAACCCTTCCTTGTAAGAACAACTTGATATATCTTCTCTGTTAACAAATAACCTATAGCCTGAAAAGGACAACTTGATATATCTTCTTTGTTAACAAATAGCCTACAGAATGAAATTAACCCAAATACTGCAGCTAAGATAAACGCACAGTTAAATCTATCAAGCAAGCACAATAGATGCATCCATACAACCTGTTCACTCTTTAAATTCAATAACCTGGCATCAATTTTAGTACAAATAAATCTGTCACACATACACAACCAACATACACACACAAAAATAAGAAAGGTTACGGTAACAGTACAATTTGTTTTTCATTTTTTTATAACTCAGGACTCCATATGCGGCTTTGCTGACACAAATAAGAAAGGTTACAGTAACAGTACAAATATTTTTTTTTTCATTTTTTTATAATTCAGGACTCCACATGCAGCTTTGCTGACACAGCTTCTAAACTGGATCCAGTGCCCAACCTACAATCTGTGGGGGAATTGCAAGGTAGGTACCTTAGGGTTTCAAACATGAGACCACAAGATACAAACCCATGTGCCTCGGCCAATCCCACTGACACCGCGTTCATAGTATAACAATTGCAATAAAAAAAACTACCTTAAAAGTCCAACAAACTAGGTTTTCTTAGGCAAGGAATTGACAAAATATAATCAGATTTACAGAAACCCAAAATCTTCTACTTGTTCATTTTGCAAAAACTATTTTACTAATGCCATATATCTTCAGCATAAGGTGCCCAGATTATTATGAACTCTTGACTTCCCATACGCAAACAAAATTATCAATTACTATAACAGCATAAAAAATCAGAGTTGTATACATATAAAAACACAGATGGCATTTTCAATGACCGAATCAAGTTCCATAAATTGAAAAGGTAAACTATACGATATTTTAATGGTGAGCAATCACGAGAAGCATATCGCAGAGTTCTCCAGGAACTTTCTCAGATGCCCACAGACTTCACCATCTGCTTCCCAATTTCAAATGCACTTTAACTCACTAAAAAGAATTACTAATACATCAAACACCATTTCAATATCAAAACACGACTCCGGAACGTATTAGAATGCTTCACCAAAGATTAACTCATAAT